TTTCAGTATTTTCGTTTTCAATGAATATCTATAGAAAAATGTTTCGAGGTAGATGTATGTGGACAATGTATATATTTAGTTTATCCTCTAAACATTTATAGATATGCTGCAATAGGTTGTACAAAATAACCGGAAAAAGCCTATAATAACTAGATAGGAAAGTCATGTGTTGGACACATCAGATTTTTTTACATTAAAAATGCTTAAAATGGGAATTTTAATTACTTCGTTATAATAACTTATATTATGCACTGTTTGTATTTTAAACTCTTTGTTAAAAATATATTTTTTATAAAATGTATGAGCTAATCTAGAGTTTATTAAACTTCTACTGCTAGCAGTGTCTATTAAGAAATTTGCGTTTATTTCTGGTAAAAAAATATAAGGTAAATTTGATCTCACCATGTTCGTATTAATTACATTTTCAACTTGTGTTAGAGCTCCCACATGAAAATTTAAAACTTCATTATCAAAAGTATCATAAGATGGACCTTGAGAGGGTTCATGGAAATATGTCAGCTGTGTTGGATTCGAGTTAATGTCTTGTTTTTGATAAGGATTATTATTGTCGTTAGTTGTGTTAAATGATGAGAAATCATTATTTTCTTGGAACTTGCATTCACCGTTATTATTTTGTTTATTAAATGAATTTTCGAATTGGTTTTCTATTTGATCAGAATGTTGCAAGTAAAGGTTATGATTATTTCTACGCATATTTCCAGATGACGTATCCATTAGCTCTGGGATACTATTTGATCTATTATTAAAATTGGTATTTCTCGAAATTTGACTATTTCGATCGAAATTAGTTGAATATTGACCAAAATTTGGATTTATAAAATTATTCGAATTTCAATTGAAACTATTTGAATTTTGATTGAAATTAATTGAATTTAGATTAAAAATTTGATTATTAAAATTATTTGATTGGTTAAACTGGGGTCTCTGAACGAATTGATTTTGATTCTGAAAAGTTTGATTTTGGAAATTCTGATTATTTTGTCTTGGAAAATTATTAAAGTTTGAATGAAATCTGTTAAAATTATTAGAATAAAATGGTTTTTGTAATGGTTGTAGTGGTAGTCTTTGCTGAGGTTTTAAAGTTATTTCTGTTATTTACAGGTCTATAAATTTGATTTTTATGAACTAAAAAGAAAATTTTCTTCTTCGACTACAAATGCCATTGCTTGTTCTAAACTATCTGGGTTTCGTAAACGAATATTATTTTGTAATTGATCTGTGAGGCCGTGAATAAATGTTTTAAGAGCTAAATCGTTATAATTTTGAAGTCTAATACATTTTTCTTCAGGCCAAAAATTTGACGCATTTATTTTAGATAAAATTAAACTTCTAAACTCTTGGAAACGCATACCAAAACGGCATGGGGGTCCATTTTTAAAAGAATGTAAAGCAATCAAGTCTTGTACATGACAATCCAAATTTCTCTGATCACCAAAGCTTAATATTAATAAATTTTTTATATCTATACAAACAGTTAATTCACTACGCGAGCCTATTAAACCCAAAGCTCTACCGGTTAATTTGCCAATAATAGCTCTTAAAATATAAGCATTAATTGTAGCTGCATTATTTTGCCGATCAGAAAATTGTCCAATCAAGCTTTCACAAGCTCCTAAAAATACAGTTAATATATGGGGGTTCCCATCAAAATTTGGAATAGTGTCTACATATAATTGCAAAAGTGAATAATTAGTTTTATCTACTAGATTCGATTCTGAACTTTCTGAATCTGAACTTTCTGAATCTGATTCTATTATAGGAGGTAAATTATCTAAATTTAATGAGGAATCTGTCCTAAGAGTACTATTAAAAATATTCACTAATTCGTCTATCTCAGACATAAAATATAATAAATTCTCTCAATTATTTATTTCATTCCAAAAATGAAAATTAAAAATCACTAATATATTCAACTCAAGTAATAACATATTTAAAATAAAAGGAGTGCAACGCAATTCCTAGGATTATTTTCGTCATATCAACGGGGTCAAGCGATGCTGTCTGTTCTCCCTGATTTACTAGCTGTATTTGGCGATGTGGTCCTCGTCCAGGTTCTTAAACTAGCTGGATTTGGCGATGTGGTCCTCGTCCATCTTCTCCAAACTTCGACAATGTTGGTCCTATGCTTGGCTGTACACCTTTGTTCAGTTTACACCAATTTTCGCGATTTCGATTTGCCGTTAAACTATTAAAATAGACCGATTTGACACGATTTTTGTTGTCACACCGTTAGGCAATCCTACTGACTGCGCCACTTTTAGGTTCGCTAATAAAAATTGGTTTTTTTAAAAAAATTACAAAAACTTTACAAAAAGCGGAACTTTATTTTATGACCTTACTGTTAAAATGTTAAAGCTAGAAAATGGTGGCAACGAACATTTTTTGTTGCCGCTAGATCTTGGTGGGGCCTTATCTTGGACTTGCCGCGTCTGCATAATTCTATTTGTTTCCTATGATTGTGTTATTATAACTTACTTTAATATTATCTAAATTACAGACTTATAAGGTACCAAGCTAACGAATGGTTGTAATAAAACTGGTTACTTTATACAGAGTATTTTGAAATTTGGTAAATTACATTTTTTTCAAATGTAACAATGTATATTATTTTAGTATTAAATTAGTTATGCATTTACTTACATATCCAACGATACCAACATATTAGCTCAAAATTTATATACAGTTTGTCCCATCAGTGCGTAATCATTCAATATCTGATTTATTATTGAAAATAGAAAGAAATTTTGAATAAAAAAGTTGTACGACCATATTTTGAGATTATTCTTTATTACACTGAGTAGTCTATAAATGAGGAGCGAACTTAATATACACTATAGGTAGTTACATATACAAAGATTTGATTGATTTTTATCTCATCGTCAATAATTGTAATAAGACTTAATGTTTCTAAAAATATTTTGAATTTTTGTTCATTTTCTATTATGTATACAGGGTGTGTCAAAATACGAGGCTACAATATTCTCAATTCTTTAAATGCAATACCTTGTATGTTATACTATTTATAAATTAATTTCTCTATTTTTATTTTGTCCAGCATTCCCTATACCTAAACACATTTTCTCTCAAGATTTTGTTGGTTTTATCATGAAAATTTGCATAGATTTATGAAATTTTTCTAATTGTGCGTTTGAAAATATGGACTAGGTATAGTAAAATGTAGACTTAATTTTTTTCAGCCCATTTGTCAGAAATAATGTATGGTTTTCTATTCCCCCGATGCGATGTCTCAAGTAATGTAAACCATTGTAATAAAATAAATAAAAAGATGCGTTTTGAAAATATAAAAAAAATAAAAAATAAAAAAAATTAAAAAAATTAATAAATTGGTGGTATAACATACATGGTATTTCATTAAAAAAATAAGATACGATATATCATAGCAAAAGAATGAAAATAGAAAACATTTTTAGGAACGTTAATCTACTAAAATTGAAGAGTTCAAAGAAAAACTATGAAGGTAATTAAAGGTGAGTTCTCTGTAAATTGATTTTTAAGTTTCGAAACCAAAATATACTGAGAGCAGGAATATTAAGGAAAATGAAATAACGCCTGTATTTTATTGCAGTGTAAACCAGTTCAGCATATATTGCGGATTCTCAGCTATTTTATCGTGTATTTAACTCATTTTTAGAAAAAACTGACTTTTATCGTTTTTGTTGTGTTCTCTCCAATTGTTTGACGAAGTAAAACTACCCACAGGATTCAAAAAAATTTAGTTCGTCCCTCATTTATGGACTTACCCTGTATATTTAAGAATATTTTAAAGTATGGTATAACAGTAGTAGGTACAACTTGTGTATTCAAATTTGTTTCGTATCTCTAATAATAAAACAGATATCGACCAATTAAGTAGTGATGGAACACACTGTACATAAATAACAGGCTAACGTGCTGGTATTGTTGGATAGGTAAGGTCATAACGAATTTTATGCTAAAATAATATATTGGAGCCATATTTAAGATAGGTTTCAAAACACTTCGTATAAAATGAACTAGTTCCATCATTTTACCATTCGTTAACTTGGTATCTTTTAATTCTGCAATTTTAATAATTTTGAAATAATTATTGCTAACCTACCTAATTTATGATATCTTGATTTAGGGTCTGAATCATTCTCTTATTTTACAAAAAATATTTATTGCTTGGCAACCTAGTAATATTTTTTAAAAATATTCTAGAATTGATTACAGTATTACCAGACCATTCTAAAAATAAAACGAAATTCAGGGTGTTCCATTTAAAAAATATAACTTTTATTTATCAGGCAAAAGCGTATCACTCTGTATATCCCAAAATAATTTTAAATGTATTTATAAATTTTAAACTCTTTTGCGTGTCTATTACATTGAAATATTGAGCAATTACGCACCCTGTATATATTAATTTCAAAGTAATGCGAAATAATCTTTTTTATATTAGAAGACGTAAAAATACTAGTGGTTATTTTATACTACGAAACTAGATCAGTGGAAACACCTTGTATATTTTAAGTTTATTTTCCATACTCATAAGTTGGCACATTATAAAATGGAATATCATTAATTTTGTATACACGTACGAAAATGTTCGGTGTTCGCAGCTCTCGAATGCAACTTATGTCTCTCCTATTTCCTATTGCACCTGTTACTCTACGAGTGGCCACGGCCCACGGCTGCGATTTGCAATTTTTTTTCTTCGTAGACACACACTCACTCAGAGAACGTGCACGTTCCAAACGTCGCCAGATCGTCTAGCCAACCATTCTCAAATAAAAATACCAGACAGAGAGAAACAGCCATACTCTTACTCTCTCCGTCTTAATCCGCATTTACCTCCACCTAATAATATCTGTTTAGTTTTAAACTTAAGACCATACGCTTCGGATCATATATCTAAAAATTTCCACCCTCAATTGACCTTACTATAATTTTTTAATAAACTGTTTTCCCGGACTATAAATTTCGAAAAATTTTCAGAAATGTGTCGGAGTGCCTGGACTATAATTTTTCTAAATTTTCTTGCGCTCGCTGTCTCGACACCGGTATTACGTAAAAAACTTACAGAAGAGGCCGAAACGTCCTTAGATAGATTTTTGAATCTGTATTTGGGTCAAGTGGAAAAAGTTAACGGTGTGCCTGAGGATGACTTGTACGAAACTATGCAGGGAGACGAGCCGCATGAACAGAATACTATACATCAAATCGGGCCGAATAGTAATTTTGGGGATAACAGGAATTTGACGAGCAGTGAATATTCCAGAGCTATGAGAAACAGGTTAGTGTTTAATGTAATTTTTGTAAAAAAATAGAAAAAAATTAAAAATTTTAAATATACCTAAATTACCCATCTAATTATTTGAAAATTCTCTCTATTGTTTTCTTCGGTTTATAAATATTTAATTTTAAAAATTTCGATTTTTTTTTTAAATAAAATATTTCGTTTATTGTTGCCTAAATAAGCATTCATTTAAAATAAATACAAAAAACAGAGGCATTTATTTTAAATTAATTTTCAAAATAAGAAAGTCATATCTTTGATGATAAAAAATATTAATTTAAATTAATTTTAAAAATAAAAGAAAAGAAAATGTCATATCGTTGTTGATAAAAAAAGTTTTTTTTTGTTTAATAATTTAAAAAGAAAATATTTTTCTCCTTTTCTGTATAGAACATAATAAAATTAATTACTGTTACTGTTAAAATTGTATAATAAAAATAAACATATCAATACAACAAGTAGTGAAATTAAAGCTTTAAAAAATCGTGCACAAATCAGTAGTTCTGCAAAATAAAACATTATTTTTTAGTTTTAATATTATTGAACAATTACTTACACTGTTCTTCTTTAATAAATTTCTTTTTTGTGATTTTTTTTATTGATCTTTTTATATTTTTCTACTCTTATTAAATATTTTATTTTTTATTTTTCTTGTCAATTACAAATGGTTTTTTTTATTTTAACCAATTAATAAATTAAGAGTAATTTTTAAATCTAAGTTGATAAAAAAAGTACAATCTGGCAAACCCCTTAAGGCGCATTTAAAAAAATGATATTTCTGGAACATCATTTCCAAATAGACGTTGATATCAAAATATTTTGTAAACCACTCAAAAATATAAGCGTTCTTAAAAATATAAGTAAATCAAGCGTTAAAAAAGATTTTTCAGAATTCTAAAAATAAATCTGTATAAATTTTGTTTGCACTGTCTAAAACACTTGATGGGGTTTTTGACGCTTTTTTTTTTCTAAATTTATCAAGCAGTTACAGAAATAGATGAAAAAACTTTCATGTATCCTTCTACTTTCTACGTTATTGTGAGTGCATGAAACATTGTATCGTTTTTTATAAATACTCTAGATTAAGGAGGTTGTATCTCTGGATAATTAAACAATATATACAGTGCGTCCATAAAGTAACGCATAAATTTATTTTTATCCAAATGATCGCTTTTATTTACTAATAATTTCCTTTACAATTCATTTGTCAATAATACATATTGAAGTAAATATCATCTTTTGAACACTTTAAAGTAGGTACGTTTATATTAAATAATCTTACAAGTATTTCTCATATTTCACTAATTGTCAATTTCATATTTAAATTGAAAGAGACTCTAATTTTAGAAGAACACTTTAAATCGAGGGTTAAACCACTAAGGATGTAGGTGTACAAAAAGGAGGATTTACGAGGATGTATGAAGATTTCTCGAGGATGATGATGATGATAATGATTTCTTGAACATGTACATAGATATAAAAATATTTAACATGGATTTATGGCAAAACTTTCAAAAATTTTAAATTGCACTAAAATAAAATGGAAAAATAAATAGTTTTCATTTTATTACCAAGTATTACATATTAAAATATACTTTGCTAATTAATGGGCACAAAGCTTCCATATGTTTAATTTCATCAAATAACTGGGGGAAGTTCAAAAACGAAACCTAAAAGGTTTACGAAAAATGCTAGCTCTAACATACTTGTTTTCTTGTTAATTAAACTTGAACATAACAGTAATTCCGTGCTTTAAGTTTTACTTAATATACGACGTCCGCCATAAAGTTAGGTACAAAAAGAAAACATTTTTATTTGTCATTTGTATGGAAATGTTTAAATAAATAAAAGTTTCTACTTGAAAAATATACGTTTATGATCAGTGGTTGCTTGTGGTAATTTAAAATGGGTGTTTACTTTTCCAATAGGTAATTTTATCATTTGTAAGTTCGTTTCAAAACTTTGTACAAGAGCCAATATCGCTGTTTGTTTTTTATTATTTGAGTGTAGTTATTATTATCAACATCATACTGTTTTCAAGCACTACAACTATTAATAAATGAATATTTTAGTTAGTGTAATATTTGTATTGTTTTTAATACGTTGAAAACCATCTATAAACATTATTAGTTAGTAAACTGACTTTTCTTCATAATTTGAGATTATTTTTAAATATATATCAGGTTATGTAGAAACCTTGACATTGATTTTTGTGTAAAAAAATTTATATGAAACTTTACCTACCATTTTTTAATTTTTATTGTAAGTTCAATAATTTTCACAATTTGTCACAGATGTCAAATAAAAAATATATTCTTTAAATACCTTTTATTGACAAATAAAATAAGAACTAAAATGATTTAAATGTTTATTTTATAAGATCAGTCCCATCACAATAAAATAAAATTGACACATTTTAACAACTTATAACTCGAGAATTAAAAAAGATATCGAGATGCAGTTTTCACTAGACCTTCTATATTTACTTCAAGTTTTTCTTGACATTGTTGCCACATGTAATTTTTTTCTGGAAAGTGCCGAAAAAAAAAACGAACTTTTTTGAACCAAAATTGTGAGCTTATTTTAAATAGAACACCCTATAATTTTTAACATCTTCGGAAAGACTATTTCTTCCCCTTTCCAAAAATGTATACATTGTAAGCATTTACTTTATTTTTTACGGAAACATTCACTTTTTTATACAACCATGTCAATAACTTCCAAACGTAAAGTATCACAATTAATTAACTTATAATTTGGGAGTAAGGCAATGTATTGATAAAAGGTTTTCACCAAAATTCTTGGAAATGTTTAAATTTTTTTCTGACATATTTGCCAAATCTTAAACTTGTAAAGTTTTCGTAAAAAAAAATTAAATTCAGAATAAGATCTCATGGCGAATGAAACATTTCGTATCTCTCATAGTCATTAGATAGTTTCTTCGCCTTTTAAAAAAAGTCAATTTTTTATAATTTTTTTATTGCTTTAATAGGTTTTAATTTTAGGTAATTAACGGTGTCTATTACATTTTGGTGGCACATATCGAAATATAAATTGACGTTTTACATCGAACGATCATTGATAAGATACAGTTTTTCATTGCCTTGTCCCTTAGGTATAAATTTCAGAATAATATCAAGTAATGATATTTTACTTATAAAGACAGAGGGGAGGACCTCATACCACACGGATTTTTGTGGCGTAAGTGGTGTCCCACCATGTTGGTACCTATCTGAATTTTTATTGAATACAAAAAATATGTACTAAAACATTAATAAATTAATTGTTGAATATGGCCTCCATTTTGTTCAATACATGTATGCAGACGCATTAAAAAATTTGTAAATGCATTTTGCAGCATTTCTGGGGTAATTGTATTAAACACATGAATTATATTATTCCTCAGTTCAGTTAAGTTTGTAGGTGTTGGATCGTAGCATCTTTCCTTAACGTACCCCCATATAAAAAAATCTGGTATAGTTAAATCCGGAGAATATGGAGCCCATTCGATGGGACCAGCTCGACCTATCCATTTATCTCCAAAGGTTGAGTTCAAAGAATTCCTGGCTACAAGAGAGTAATGCGGTGGAGCACTATCTTGCTAGAAATATACAGTATTTAGTATTTCTTCTTGTTCTAGTTGAGGATAAAAGAATAGTTCTAGCATATCCGTGTAATTGTTTCCATATACTGTTTCCTCTTTAAAGAAAAATGGTCCATAAATTTTGGTTTTGGACACACCACACCATACATTTACCTTTACAAATCCTACAATTGTGTTTGTTTACGCGTCCACTTAAATGAAACGTTGCTTCATCTGACATTATTAGATTTATATTTGGTTGATGTTTAAATAAATCTAATAACGTCTCACACATAAAAACTCTCTTTTCAAATGCATGATTTTCAATTTTATGAAAAGTTTGAACCTTATATGCTTTAAACTTGATTACTTTTAAAATTTTATGCACCTTACTCTTTGACATATGTATGGATTGGGCAATTTTTCTAATAGATATTTTATTATTGTTTCTTGCTAAAATTTCCCTTATCTGTATAACATCATTTAAAATAATATCTTGAGCGTTTTCAATTTGTCTTTTTTTTCTATCTAACGTTCCCGTTTCTTTAAACTGACTTACCCAGTTTAAAATAGAATTTCTGGTTGGCGAATTTTCTAAATCTTTTTTGTGTATGTGTAATTGATCTACTTTCAATATAAAGTAAAACGCACCGGGCTTTTTCACTTTTGGTAAACATTTTTTAATACCTGCTTCCTCTTGCACTAATTAATACAAATATAGACTTCTGTCAACTCGATTTGTTTTACATAGCACCCTTGATAAGTTAGTAGTATCATTTATTGACTCATTCATATTAGTCCAAAGCTGAGTAAGTTAATTTACAAAAAGAGGAATATTAAATAGACAAAAAAAAAACAGATATAGGTACATATTGAAAACGCTTAAGACATTCTTTTAAATGATGATTTATGGATAAAGGCTTGCAAATAATCGTTACAAATACGAAGAATTTTATTCATCATAAGCCCTTAATCTGAATTGGTAAAAGTAATCTTTTACGAAAATTTTAGACATTTGAGACTTTACAACCATTTTGTAAACAATTAAACATTTCCCAGAATTTTAGTCAAAACCTCTTATCAATAAATTGTCACATTATCGAGTTAAAGGCTTTTAAATTGTGATACTTTACGTTTAGAAGTTATCGACATGGTTTCATAAAAAAGTAAATTTTCCCAAAAAAATTGAATAAATACTTACAATGAATACATTTTTGGAAAGGGAAAGAAATGGTCTTTCCGAGGATGTCAAAAATTATAGGGTGTTCTGTTTAAAATAAGCTCACAATTTTGATTCAAAAAAGTTCGTTTTTTTTCGGCACTTTCCAGAAAAAAATTGCATGTGACAACAATGTCAAGAAAAACTTGAAGTAAATGTAAAAGGTCTAGTGAAAACTGCATCTCGATATCTTTTTCCGTTTTCGAGTTATAAGTTGTTAAAATATGTCAATTTATATTACACAGATACAAACTAGAATAAAGATATACATAGTATACCAATAAAAACTCCTAGGCCGGATATTTTGGGAAGTAATACAGATATTTTATTTCTATAAAAGCCAGTTCATAGGGCGCTAAGGGAGCTTCAGTTTTAGATATAAATTAATTTTAAATAGGTCGATATGTAGATGGCGCTGCGCTCAATATTGTTTTTTTGATGAGAGGATCTTTCTTATATAGCGCATCTTGTAAAAAATGCATTTTTAGGCAAATTTTGTTTTATAAACTAATTCGATAAATCTAGCCATTTTTGATACACAGAGTGGGTTACTCAAAACAGTTTCATCCTGTTTTTCGGCAATATTCATTAGAAAATGCTAAAACAAGTCGATTTTTATTCCAAATTAAACACATTTTACAATACAGACATCTGTCATGTGTCAACCCCCTCCCTTCCACTTCTCCACTTAATTTTAAATAAGGAATGTACCATTTATGGCACATAATTGAATAGATAATTTTATGGGGAAGTCAGAAATATGACTGTTTATTGCGATACTTTTAATTTTAGCGCCCTCTATCGGGATAAAAAAACCTGTAACGTATTATAAAGTGTGACACTTCATTTGAAAGCTAATTTAATTACTAATTCAATACACTATATAACATTAATATACATATTTCCATATTGCACTTGCAACAAAATAAAGTTAGCAATAATGTTTAAAATAATGCATGACTAATTTTCAAACTATTGTAAGTGCAATATGGAGGATATTTATATTAATGTTATGTGGTGCATTGAATTAGTAATTAAATTTGCTTTCAAATAAGGTATCACACTTTATAATACGTAGTTTTTTTATCCCGATCTAGGGCGGTATAATTAAAAGTATCGCAATTAACAATCATATTTATAAATACCGCATAAAATTACCTTTTTAATGATGTACTTCACATTGTAGTGTCACACTCTATATTACGTAGTAGTTTTTTATCCCGCTAGAGGGCGATAAAAATAAGTAGCGCAATGTTCAGAAATATTTCTGAATCCCCACTAAATTACCTTTTCAATGACGCATTACCTATTTAAAATTAAGGTATTTAAGAAGTGCAAGGGAGGGGGTTGATACATGACAGATGTCAATATTGTAAAAATGTTTTTAATTTGGAATAAAAATCGACCTGTTTTGGCATCTTCTTAAAATTAAATTATTAATGCCGATAAACAGGATGAAATTGTTTTGAGTGACCCACTCTGTATATAAAAAATTGCTAGATTTATCTATATTACGTAGTAGTTTTTTATCCCGCTAGAGGGCGATAAAAATAAGTAGCGCAATGTTCAGAAATATTTCTGAATCCCCACTAAATTACCTTTTCAATGATGCATTACCTATTTAAAATTAAGGTATTTAAGAAGTGCAAGGGAGGGGGTTGATACATGACAGATGTCAATATTGTAAAAATGTTTTTAATTTGGAATAAAAATCGACCTGTTTTGGCATCTTCTTAAAATTAAATTATTAATGCCGATAAACAGGATGAAATTGTTTTGAGTGACCCACTCTGTATATAAAAAATTGCTAGATTTATCAAATTAGTTTATAAAACAAAATTTGCTTAAAAATGCATTTTTTACAAGATGCGCTACACAAGAAAGATCCTCCCATCGAAAAAAAATTATTGAGCGCAGCGCTATCTACATATTGACCTATTTAAAATCAACTTATATCTAAAACTGAAGCTCTCTTAGTGCTCTGTGAACTGGCTTTAACAGAATTAAAATATCTGTATTACTTACCAAAATATCGGGCCTGGGAATTTTTATTGGTACACTCTGTATAATGCCTAGCATTCTAAATTATACTCTTCGAAGTTTAAAAGATCCCCTTAACCCTCATTTTCAACCAGATTGTTTTCACAATCAATAAGCCTCATCTCTTTATAGAGCTTGATTTTTACTAAAAATTTCATGTTGATATCGCTTTTAATTTTTAATTTTTTTTTATTTTAATTAAATTCTCCATATTTAATCAGATTTTTTTTATAATTAAAGGGCATTTTCTCCTTTTAGAGCTTGATGTTTGCTAAAAATTTCAAGTTGATATTTCAGTATTTTTTTTAATATTTTAACCCCCCCCCCCCCGGTAAATTCCCAATATTTTCATATTTTTTTTCAGTATCAATAGCCTTTATCTTCTTATAAAGCTTAATTTTTACTAAACATTTCATGTTCATATCGCTTTTCGTTTTTAATTTAGGATTTTTTTTTATTTTCAACCCATCTTAACCCCCTATTTTTAAACAGATTTGTTAAAAATCAATAGGCTTTGTCCCCTTATAGAGCTTGATTTTTACTTAAAATTTTTAAGTTGATATAATTTTTCGTTTTTGACTTATCGTGTAGACAAAAAAAGGTGACATCGGACAGACGGATATAGTAAACCTATAATACTCTTCACAGAATACTGTATGAAGAAGAGAAAAAAAATATATAAGGTAAAATAAACAGTTTAAAGAGGCCAACAATAATATTTAGTCTTTTATCAAATTATACTAAAAGTTTGAAATAGCAGCACATAATTGAACATTTACAGAAATCTGTGAACTAAAATAGTGAGATACACATCGTAAAATGTTATCAGACTTAATTCTCTATATGACCCTTTCTAAGTGTATTTCACAGCACATTCCAAAGTATTCTTGCTCTCGCTACTGTCCTACCCTCATTGCAGACTTTTGCATGTCTATGTTTACTAAAAAATAATGTGTTTTAATAAATAACAGAACAATAGTAATTTTGTCTAAATAGGTAAATCGGCTTCATCTGTATTTTCAAATTATTGTTTGATTGTAGATAATACATTAATGTTTTGATATAGACCATTTTTAAGTAGTCTTAGAATAGTGGAAGGGTCTAAGACACTAAAACAAAATATAAAACAAATTAGATTCGTAAAACTTTATTATAGTTAAATAAAACAACAACTTTAAAAATGCTTCTATGTACCTTGCCTTAAAGAAGTTTTTCATGAACAATTGTTGAATTCACACACATACTTTTAATTTATTAATATCACAGTTCTTAATTAAACACATTTTTTTTAAATGAGCATAAATAAAATAATCTTAGTTTTATTAAAAACGTTTCACAGTAGAGGAATGACGGAAGACGGAATGACAGTTTGTTTGATTTGGTACAGTTTTGCCAGAATATGGTTTTGTTATGTACCAGATTTGTCTAAAAAATGTACCAGATTCCTTAAATGTATCAGATTTTTTGAATTCTATTTCCAGTGACATCTAATTAATTGAAGAGGAAAAAAGGGGTCTTTATTGATAACGAACCCAAACAAGGAACACAATATATATATTTTACACGTGAACACTTATGCACGCAGAATGTACTACATCTAGTACAATTGTGAATTGTACTAGACTGGCAACAATGGTTTGGTAACCTTGTTTGTGAGCGGCGTGTCAATTAATGTGTTCTTTTGCAATTTGAAGGATTGTTGGCGTGTTGTCTTCTCTTTTTAGCTATATGTATTCGCCAAATCGTCTCACTCGTGTTAGGCTCACTCATCATAATGCGCCACAGACAGAGTATACTTAGGTGTACTGTGCCACAGAGAAGCGATCAGCCAGAGGGCAATGATATACCAAAAAATATAGATTAACACGTATGAAAATAAAAATATTAAAATTAAATTTATATTTTTATGTTATTTATGTAATTTTAAAATAATGAGTTTTTATGAAATTTAACTGGGTGTTCACTGCACAAATGAACCAATGGAGAAACAACCCCTGCTTATGACCTATTTAAAACTTGTGCTTAATATAAATCTTGAAAATAGAAAATCATGAAATCAGAAAACCAAAAATTTGCTCGGATTGAAACGTCATCTACAGCAAAATTTTAGACTGCTAAAAAAGAAACAACTCTCTTTAATAACTTTTTTCATATAGACTTTAGTTTCTGTGCAATTTTGCAACGTTATACTAAATATTGTCAAAAATTAATTTTTTCAATAGTGAAAATGGCTATGAATTGAATGATCATAGCAAAAAAAGGTATAAGAAAACAATTTAGCTTTAATCACCGTTTCGATTAGAACAATTTTTTGGTTTTGTGTCATCTTACTTTTGTATTTTTAGCACACATATTTCGAATTAGTCAAAGTTATTTAATTTTCATGCTCATTTGAACATTTCCTGCGAACCGATATTTTAAAAATGTTTCATTTGTACCCAATTATATGAGCACGATATATATCATAAAGTTGTTAGGCACATACAAAAATATAAACACAGGCAACTAGCTTAACTTTTGTAGGAAGGTAATTAAAGTTATCTATAATTTATTTCATCGTCCCCTCGTCTTTTTACCCCTTTAGTGCGTCTCTGAGAAATATATATATGTATATGTTACGTACCAAGCTGGAAATTGTACAATTCGCGCACCGTACAGTGATTTTTGTACCGAGCGCGAAGTGTATAGACTACTTTGTATGAAGTGCGATTTACCGGACTTGGTATTACAAGTTTTGTACTATTCGGGTTCTGTACAAATTATATGTACCGAGCTAATTTCAATCTTCCAGCCAACTTGGTACAGCAGTTATTGTACAAAGCACGAATGAGGAGTCGCCTGACTATATCAAGGCATTTTATTATTATTTTTATTATTACCATTAATATTATTATTGAGCCCCGTAACGACAGAACATGCAGAAAAACTAAAATTGAAAAAACAATAAAAGAAAAATAGATAGTTTTTTATTTTGATTAAAGTAAACATAATTTAGCTGCACATATATAATTTATTTATTGGTACAGCCCATTGAATTATGGCAACGAGAATTACACAAAACTCCTCTTTTCCTGCATACACATCTCTTATTCAAACATTTTCTAGTGCATGCGCATCGCACAAATCCTTGCCCACCAACTATTGATGCCTATGAATTTGCAGCTCGTAAAGATACTGATGCATCTGCCACTTCTTCGATTTCCAAAAAAGTAGTACTGATGGTGCAATTTGATTTCGACTGTATAGCTGTGATATAACTCCCTTCTTTGTTCCTTCTTGTAAAAGTTATCAGAAGTCACTTCCATAACAACACCTAAAACAAGATAATAAATATAAGAAAAAAAGAAGATAATGCGATTTGAACGAAATTAATATTTTCTTCTCCAAACCATACCTATAAGGTTTCTGAGATCACCTTTGCTCCTGTCCACATCGGCTACTGGAATTGTTACAGTTGTTCCATATTGCAAGGGTGGATATTTGTAATCACTCTGTAATTTCATACGTTTTGCTTGCTACTGTAGTCCACTAAGGGCTATCTGTTGATTTTTTTGGATGTTCAAATGCACTTTATTTAGTATTGACATTTCTTCTACATTTAGTGCTATTTCTTCAGTAGTGTGGACTTCTCTCTCCTCAATTTGGTCTGATTTTTTTGTTTCTTCAATTACTGACATTTCTTTGGCAGTTTGAACTTCTCTCTCCTCAATTTGGTTTGATTTTTCCGTTTCTTCATTTATTGACATTTCTTCAGTAGTTTGAACTTCTCTCTCGTCAATTTGGTCTGATTTTTCCGTTTCTTTATTTACTGACATTTCTTCAGTAGTTTGGACTTCTCTCTCCTCGATCTACTCTGATTCCTCCGTTTACTCAAAAATTTCGTTTGTTATTGAACCAATAATTGTTTCTACATCCTCTTCTGTATTCAAGCTTTCAATGACGGAAGCTGGAAGAGTACTAGATGCTAGTTCTAATTTGGCTTTCGTCCCAAATAATGCTTTAAATGGCGATTGCTTAATTCCAGAATGGAGACTATTATTTTGAAATTAACAGCTCGGTACATATAATTCGTACAGAATCCGAACAGTACAAAACTCGTAATACCAAGTCCGGAAAATCGCACTTCGTACAAAGTAGTCTATACACTTTGCGATCGGTACAAAAATCACTGTACGGTGCGCGAATTGTACAATTTCCGGCTTGGTACGTAACATCCCAGCTAGCACAAAAACATCCCATCTACGTTAATAAGCTGCAATTTTAGGCTCTTTAAGCTCGCATGCAATGTACTGTAAATGTAACCCTTATCTCCCTGCAACTACCGAATGTCCGCAACGGCAAGACTTTTATAGCACATCTCACAGAAGTTTATGTTTACAAGTATAATTAAGTCCATCCGTGGACACACATTGTGTAATGTAATACAGAGAGGCTGAAATTGAGGCTATAGTAAAATCTCAATCGAGACATGAAAATTTCAAATAAAACAAAATATTTATATAAATTTATTATTAAAATGTTCTTGAAATCAAATACCAATAGCACAAAAGTAGAGGTAGGTGTAGGCGTGTTCTGTTATTCAGTGCTGTATCCAGCGCTTGCAGCAAACCGTTCGTAAATTAAGTGATGGAAAGACGATTGTATGTGTCAATCATTCTTTTTTCCAGCGGTGAGTTCACCAATGAGCCAAGGCATCCATCGGCTTTAAAAGCCGATGGATATGTGATAGACGAATGGTGAGGATAATCAATCATTTAAGTTAACCTAAAATATAAGAGTTCAAATATAAAACGACTGCAGAATAGATAAATTACATCAATCACTAATGGAACAATTATTGAATAAAAGAACACACCTTATATCACAAACACAAGTACACATGTGGGATAGAAGAAGCTACCTAGAAAGCACTGAACGATTGGACAAAATTAGCTAAATAGTATAATAAGGTACCAATATTGCAAAGGTTCACTAAAACCTTAAATGGTGAACGATGATAAAGCTAGATTGGTGAAAAATAATAAATGAATACAACAATGACTAGGTACATATTATTATATTAGATTACTAGAGGATAGCTAAGTTTGCTGATTTCTTACCTAAGACGCAGAGATATATCTTTTTTAAATCAAGCCTTTTAACTTTTTTTGCATAGATATTTATAAAGTGCTATAATGTAACCTAAATATGACAATTTATTAGAAGAGCATAAATTATATTTTTATATAAAAAGATTTTACTTCTCAATACATTGAATAAAAAAGAAATTGATAACTTGTTTACCTATTATTAATTAAAGGAAATTATATAGAAATTATAAAATATGCCTTACTTTGTTGTTTTAAATAAAACAACCAATGTTAGTGTATTGAAATTTGTTTGAATTTTACAAATTTTATGCTTGATTTCCAAAGTAGATATATCGATGGCTCAATCAAAAACCACCACAAGTCAAAAAACAAAGCAATTACATTTTTGGTTCAATGGATGCAAAATATCATTACGGTTTTACTTTAAATACCACCACAAACAAAAATATCCTTAAAGATAAATCATTTAAAATGTAACGACAAACTGTGTCTAAAACTGCCTCAATTAGAGTTATTTTCTTCAAAAACACCCAAATTTTTTACAACTATGCAACAACTCACTTTTATAATCGTAATCATTTTATTTAACAGCAACATATCGAAGCTTTTAAATAAAATATAAAAAGTATGTCAAAAACAAAATAATGATAATAGAGACGAAATAATAGTATTTTAGTTGTGGCAGTATTTGATTGAGCCATCGATATGTAGATTTTATAAAAAACAACTGGTGTTTTTTAGCAAGATATTCTATTATACTCGAGAGTATCATCTATGATTTCTCTCAACTTTTCTGCTGGGTTTTCACTTGAACTGATGGTTGCATTTCCAGGCAATCTAGCCTGTTGAAGAGAATGAACTGCTTGAATTCTGATATACCTGACATATCATGTACCTATAGATTCACTTTTTATAAAACTTCAGGTGTTATATTCTTCTTTACACTTCTGTAGTATTTACTTTTGCTTCTAAAATTCCTAGAATGTTGAAGGAAACCTAAAAAATAATATTTTTAAAATGTATTTTTAGTTCGATAAAGAATAATTACCTTTTATAAGTATTTGGTGTAAAATGTTGCCGGACATTCTGTTAAATGTTTATCTTCTGGTTTACAACGATTGATCTGCAATTCTTTGTTTTCATTGTAGTTTTTTTTTTATTTGGTGTCATGGGCATCGACTGCTAAAGATACTTAATGAATGAAATAATAAATTTACATCAGGCATTGTAATCTAAAACAAAGACAATGGTTTAGAAAATAGTTATCTATTTTATAGAGGACCCTTACCAAATCTATTCGAATGTATAAATAATAATTATTTATAAAATAAATTCGTCGAAAAATAAACCATTAAAAAAGACAATTGACAAGAAAAACTGACAAGTGACAATTTACATAAAACTAAACGTTCTGAATTCAGATTTGTAATGTTTACGGTAGGTTAACTAGGTAAATAACAAATAGAAGTTTTGCAAGGTTTTGATTTCCCTCAACAACTTCTCATGAACGTTGCATTTACGTTGTACAGTAATGTTATTACGTTCCCTTAATGGAACATCGCCGAAAGGCTTGGCAACGTTATGTGCTAGCTGGGATATATAGGTTTTTAAATAATGACGAAGTTTAATTTAATTTAATAGCTCATATCAAGCCATGCAACAAAATGCGTAATTTTATGAATGCTACACCCATGTTCTCTGCACCTAAGGGATAGTTTTCAACTCCATTAGAATGGGTCCAACTAGACCCCAAATAGAACCTACTTAACAAATTTCGTTAAAATACTTTTTTAATTTATACGTTCGTTACAAACAGATTAACAAACAGACAGACAGAACCAAAACGGAATCAAACATGTTAAGAATGATCTAAAACACAAAAATCTATAAAAGACACTGAAGCTTTTACATTGTTTTTTTTTGCTAATTTTTTCAACTTTGATAGACTTTTTCATTTATATGACCACTTTTGGCTGGAGTGACTGGCCGCGAGGTTAGTTTGCATCCATGTTCTCGCAACATTTAGGCTATGATCACTGGAAAATCAATGACAACGGATGATTGATGAATGTCATCAAATCACCCCACAGATGCTTCAAAATGTCCGAGAGCGTTTTGAACAAAGCATCTATTATCGCATGGAGGCACAGGGCCAGCATTTCTATCATTTACTCAAGTGATTGGTAACCATTTAAAGGAAATAAAAATCGTTCAAAGATTATGGCTTGGAAGACAGTAGCGATTTAAAACTGGGGGGTCATAATGTAGACAAAAAGACCTTCAAAATAAGATATCATTCGATCCCTCTTTCCATTTAAGATTTTAGATGTGTCTCACCCCCGCTAGAGGGTTTCCGTTCTGGGGGTGAAACTGGCAAAAAAATCTTTCCCCCTAAAATCAAAAATTGATGGGTTTGAGTGTTTTTTTCGTAAATGACCTGCAGTGCCCAAAAGTGGCTCTGTTTCGTTTTCAAATGGCCACCCTGTATTATCACTATATTATAAATAACTATGACATGTTTCGGTAACACCGTAGTTTTATGAAATGACTAGATCTGGGTTATTTCTGGGATCATCCAAGAACTGCTACAGTAGGTAGTTATTTTACACTCTGCGTAATGTCTCCGAATTCGTCTCCGTACTCTTCTTCGAATGACGTCATATTTTGTAATATTTTCTTCCATTATCTAAATAACACTTTTCAACAAAAATTAATTGTCGCAACCGACTGGGTTAATTTGAGTTAGCTTGGTCTGGTTTATCATAATTATCAATGTTGGAAAGTACTATTTATATGATAATAAGTAAAATTACAAAATTTGAGGTCATTCAAAGACATTGAACACATAGAATTTAAATAATTGCTACTGCAGAAATAGTTTCATGTTTTAACATGATTTTGTGAATTCTGTGTGGTCCATACGTATGGAATAAATTTATTTTTAGAATACATTTGGAAAAAACTTGAAACAGGTCATTTCTATAGAAAAACTGTTTTCTTGGGGAATGTAGTCAAAAAAACTTTTTATGTGAAATTTTTTTTAGTAAAACTCTTTGATCATCGTCAAGCTTTCCATTATTAAGACACTAAAATAATTACAATATTTAATCTTAAAATTTTAATTAAAATTAATAAAAAGACTTACTAGTCGTGAGGTTAAAATTTGA